CTTCAAAGTGCCTTGAGGTGAAATAGCTATTCCCGCTATCAATTTTTGGCAAGTGAGAGTGCATAGAAACCAATAGTGACTTTCCTAGCTCGCACGAACCATAGATTGAATAAGAAGAAGACAATTTTCTCTCAGGAACAACATTCTATACATAGTGGTAGCTGACTCTCAATTTTGATCCTTTTGTTTATCAGGTCAAAAAATATGGGTTTGACAGCAAGAATCAAAGAAAATATTCAGAATTAGATTCTCTTCGTTTTTCTACACAGTTCTCAGGACAAACAAATTACCGTGAACTTATAAGTAACTCCCAATTGTATACAATTGCACAGTAAGAGTGATAACATCAAAACTTGCAGAAGTCTCCAGCGCCATTAAATTAAACCCCAAAAAGAAAACCTTCACAATTTCAACTCTCCAGAGAGTATAAACGCCAATAAAAACCAATTAATCATATTTAACAATTAATCATGGTTTTGTTTCTTTTTTAATCGGAGAGAAGGAACCACCAACCCTAATCAAGCGAGTGATGCGAGTGCCGCATTCGTAGCACTCCGCGCGGTTCTCGGCCATGGTTTTACCACACGTCATGCAAAGCGTCAAGTGCTTGCAGGTGCTGCCATAGAGATCCACCGTCGATCCACAACCGCTGCACGACGGCTTCAGTATCAAATCTATAGACATTTTCTTTGCTAATTCTATTTTCCTGCGTCATACAAACAACATTGTTATTATTCAGAAACTTGCTGATGAATTTAAACAGTTATAAGCAAGGATCAATTGTGAAGGAAAATTGAGGTGGAAAATATTAGGGTTTTGATGAATCCGTAATCATTTTTCTAAATTGGGGAAAATAGAAGCGTATGTTGTAGTATACCTTGACTGTTCAATTACAGTTTTTCTTGTCCGAGAAACTTGAATTTATCTATCATCTTTCCTCGATACACGAGAAGTGAGCTTTCTATAAGATTAATTAATACACTGAGGTTGATTTAGAAATGAGTAAAGCTTTGGGACAGGATTAATCCACAGAAATATTACATGATTTTAAAATAAAATGAAGTGGCGCAGTTTTTTAAAAAAAATTGAAAAAGATGTCCAACAAAACAAAAACCGGAAAAGGCAAAGCCCTCGATTTCCCCAAATTTCCCCAAAAAGATGTCCAAAGCCTTTCCCAGTTTTTGTTTTGTTGGATGTCTTTTTCATTTTATTTAAACTTCGCCACGTCATTTCATTTTAAAATTCTGTTACATTTCTATGGATTAATCATGTACCCATAGCTTTACTCTTTAGAAATTGGACCTGGTTTTATTATATAGGGAAGAAAATGAATGGTCCTTCTCTTCGTTTCTCTTCCTCCAGTGCTTTCCAATTTTAATTCGAGTCGCGTTTGTTAGCAAATATATAGAGTAAAATGTTTCATTAGTTATTGAACTTATACCTTCATCAAGTTTTATTCACTGAATTTTAAAATATTTTTTATTGATCACTGGACTTTAAAAATGATTTAAAATGGTCATTAAAATTTAACACGTTGTACTCCATCACTTACTTACCATGTTTCATTAGTTATTGAACTTATATATTTGTCACACTTTTATCCACTGAACTTTAAATGCTCTCGAACGATCACTTAATTTACTCATTAAATTCAACTATTGAAAAATTTAAAAAGTATAAAATATTATACACGAATACTCAGGGCTGGCCCTGAGGCGAGGCGAGTGAGGCCGCCGCCTTCGGCCCAAGCTTGGAGGGGGCCTAATTTTTGGCCCCATTTTTTTTTTATATGACAAGCCCAAATCTCTAACCTAAGGCCCTAAACTCCTACAGTCCTACACACCGAATCACTCTCGTCTCAATTGCATATCGGAATGATGTCTGAATCAAAGTTGTAGCCAGATGAATTAGCTTTTCGACGCATTTTGAATCGCCTCAATCGCATATCGGAATACAAAGTTATGATAAAAATATTGAAAGAAGGTGCAACTGCCTGTTTAAAACAAGAAATTCCGTTAAATAGTCCGTTAAAACAACAAATTCCGTTATTTTTTCCGTTAAAAACAAGAAATTCCGTTATAGAAGTCTTATTGAATTTTTGTTCATCAATCAACTTATAGAAGTCTTGGAAAGATTTAATATAGAAATATGACATACATTGATATCTTATGGTTATTTGTTCACTTGAACTGAAAAAANTGGTAACTAGTAAGTGAGCGATTTCAGTTTTGGGGAATTTTGTGATTTGTCTAATTTCAGTTTTTGGGATTTTGTGATTTTTCTAATTTCAGTTTGTATGAATGGATTTATAATTTCAATTTTGTGAATGAATCAATGATTCGATTTCTAATTTCAGCCATTTTCCTGATTTCTGGTTCGTCTTCTTCACAGGTTTTTTTTTTCTTTCGATGTGCTGCGTAATCAATCAACTGCATTCCTTTTTTTTTTCAAATGAACATCCATTTGTTGGTGAAAAGGAATGCTTAAAGGTGGAAAAATCAGAGATCATCAAGAAGAAAAAGTCATTTGATTGTGTTATTCAACTGCTTTCAAATATGTCCCACCAAGCGTTTGATGAAATGTCCAAATGGTGGAAGCTTTTTTCTTGACAAAGTTTGACAAGCCTTTTTGCCTTCTATTTTCCCAAAGCTAAATGTGGTAAAATTGTGGTGGGTGCTTGAGGCCCTCTTTTCTCTTTACAAATAGTTTCCACCAAGAATTAATTGTAGTAAAATTATAATGTTGATAGCAAGCGAGAATATCACGTGGTTCGTTTTTGGCTTTGCCCAAAACATCTGAAGACTTCTGATAATTGCTGAGAATTACAATTGAGAACTTTGTTGCACTTGTCAGTCTTATGTTTTAGAACATTGTAGATATATTTGATAATCTTGAAACAATTTAGTCTGGATGATTCATCCAATTATCAACCTGAAATGTAAACTAGTCTTGAGGAGACATCCAACCTTGATGAAATTTCCGCTATCATATAAATTATTCTATCAGTTACATCTGCAAATACAAAATTGTAAAAGAAATTTTGTGAAATGGAATGAACTACGGGGTTGCTGTCCCCTGTTTTCTGGAAGAGTTCTTGATTCCACTTTTTAGAGCTGGTCAGCAGCTTCAAGTGATAGTGAAGTTGGTCGAGTTGTGTCATAATGATTGTGCAAATGATAATTCTCATTAAGGGATTTTTCCCTGCTTATTTGGTTTGTCAAGTGAATATCCTTGGTTTGCATTCCCACTAACATTTGACAAAGGAACTATTGAAACTATGGTACTTGCAAGAGCCAATTATTACCAACAAATGCTGGAAAAGATTGACAACATTTCAACTAAATTCGAATATAGTTCACGACTGGTAATTGCAGTGTGAGACAAGTTGTCTCTCTTATTCTTCCACGTTTTTCAGTCATTGCATACTTTGAAGGGGTTGTTTCCATGAATATTTACATTTCTTATCACCGTTTATGTAAGTTTATGGTTTACATAAGCAAGCATAAATTTGTGAAATCTGGAGCAGGGAATAATGGCCTGCTTGATAATTCATAGTTAGCTAGTTATTTAATTTTGATGTTTTACTGAAAGACTTATTAGTCATTGACAGAGTGCTTAGCTTCTAAACATTTTTCTATGTTGTTGGGCTTTAGCAATTTTTTGTGGTCTTCCACGTTTATCTTGATATGTTGCTCTTGAAAATTGTTTCTGTATTGCCCAGTGGCTATATGTGTGTCTGGTTCTACATGAAAGCTAAATGGTGAATGTGTACTAATGACGATTTATTAACGTGTGAGGGCAACAAGGTCATATGCTAATTTATTGAACACTTTTGAACAGACTTATTTTGTTTTGTAAAA